GCCGGGCAGAGGTGCCCACGGGGAGCTGTGCCGACCAGGTTTGCTTCTGCTCACTCGTCCTGTGCTTCTGTTAGTTGTCAGTCTAGGTGGCAGCCAGGGTGTGTGTGTGTGCTCGTGTGTGCATGCATGTGTGTTGATGTGTGCATGTGTACGTGTTGTGTGTGCATGTGCGATGTGTACATGCATGTGTGTTGTGTGGGCATGCATATTGTGCATGTGTATGGTGTGTGCACATGTGTGTGTACATGCATGTGTGTTGTGTGGGCATGCATATTGTGCATGTGTATGGTGTGTGCACATGTGTTGTGCATGTGTGTATTGTGCATGTGTTTGTGTTGTGTACGTGTGTTGTTTGTGTGTTGTGCATGCAATCTGTGTCTCTCTGTGTGTCCCTGTGTATATGTGTGAATGTGTTGGTGTGTGTGCATGTGCGTGTCCCCGTGTGTGTTGTGTGCATGTGTGTCCATGTGTGCATGTGTGTGTTGTGTGCATGCACGTGTGTCCCCATGTGTGTGCATGTGTGTGTTGTGTGCATACGTGTGGCTCCGTGTGTGTTGTGTGTGTGTGTCTGTATGTGTACGAGAGAGATGGGGAGGGGGAGGGAGGCAGAGACTTGCTCAGAGTCAACGTCTCCCGCGTTTCCTAGGAAACAGGTCACTGGGGCTGAAGAATGAAATGTCAGCTGTGGCCTCAGACGCCCGGACCTGGAGGCTGCAGCGGGGACTCCCCCCCAAGATAGGGGCAGGTCACGGATGGGCTGCAGCGGGGACCCCCCCCCAGAGGGGGCAGGTCACGGATGGGCTGCAGCGGGGACCCCCCCCCAGAGGGGGCAGGTCACGGGCTGCAGCGGCCTCTGGCTCTTCCCACCCCCGCGAGGCGGCGCACACGCTCACTCCCACGACCCCATCTGTTCCCGAGCTCATCAAGTGCAGCAGGTGTCGCCTGTTTTCAGCTGATGAACCCGAAGCTCAGAGAAGTCAAGCCACTTGCCTGAGGCCACACAGCTGGGGAGCAGAGGAGCCGGAAGGCGCACGTTGGTGGGTAGCCCCCGACCACTCAGGCCTGGGCTGGAAGAGATGAAGAGGGCCGGCCCCACCCTGGGGAGCCTGGGGCAGGTGAGACTTAGGCGCGAGGCACTGCCGGGCGGGCCTCGGTGGGGCCGTGGCAGGAGTGGCGCCTTCCTGGGGCTGCGGGGACCCAGAGCTGCCCACCAGGGAGGGGTGGGTTGGGGGCCCCCGACCTGCAATCCCCGCGGCCTCACCCCTGCTGGAAACCTAAGGAGCAGGGATGCCGGAGGACGCCAGGCCGGACTCGGCTGCAGGCGGTGAACTCGGCTCTCCACCCTCAGACCTGGGGGGCTCCCAGGGCCGCAGCTGCCACCGGCCTCCTCCCTCCGTCTCTCCCGACGCCCGCCAGTTACCGCCCGCCTGTCCACACACCCGTGTTGTCAGCGGGCCCTCCGGGTGGTCCCACTGTGCGCCGAGGAGGGACGCACCTTGCACCAGACAAACCACGTGACTCACGGCACAGCCCCGAGGCCGCCTGCCTGGGCTGCCGCCTGCCCTCCAGGCCCGGGGGGCTCAGGCCACACGGTTCCGCCGGGCAGCAGCCGCCCGGGAGGGAGCCGGACAGAATGACCTGCTCGTCCTGCTGCTGCACCCCAGCCACCCCCTGCGAGTCCCTGTGGCACCTGCTAGAGGGGCAGACCCCCGGGGCCACCAGGCCTTCCGTCGGGGGCTGGAGCTTCTCCCCAGAGCCTGGCCGGCTCCTCACAGGCTCACGTTTGAGGATGATCGACGTGGAGTCTCCCCGCAGGCCGGGGTGCCGCCGAGCCGGGCTCAGCCCCTCCAGGACAGTTGCCCGGCTGCAAGGACAAGGCCACCGCCCCGCCCCACGCGGCTTCACCTGGGCGGGAGGCCCAGGCC